CTTTCAAAGCTTAAATAGATAAGCGAAAGTAAGGTTACTTTCATATCTAGTTTATTTTTCAAGTGTACGATTTTAATTTACATCAAAATCCGCGCACAAAGTCTTTTCTACCTTATATCTACATACAGATACGTGCATCAATGCATACGCATCAGAGGGAAATTTTATCCAGCTTTCATCGAATATATCGACATAAAATCATTATGCAACTCAACTTAAAGCGAATCGTGGATACTCATATGTAAAGCGTTAACAAAACTTGGAAATAATTATGAAGGAATTTGCGTTACAGTGACCTAATAAATTGACTCATTCATTACCCGATTTCAACTTGATATGCAGAAAATCTTGTTGATTAATGAGGGACAAGGAGCGTTCTTAGATGAACACCATCTATGTCAGAGAACTAATGTTGGCTACAGGAAAAAGTGATATCCAAATAACTTTTCCTTTTACAATCATATCTGCTAAGGTTGTGACGACTTGAAATCGTATCTCATTTTGAATTCACATCTCTTTTTGGGAGATTTGTTAGGTTAACCTAGGTTAATTTAGATCATAAGAGTGAATTAAAAGTGAAGACCTTTTAAGAAAATGAATTTTCCATTTACAATCATATGTGCTAACGTTGTGACGACTTGAAATCGTATCTCATTTTGAATTCACATCTCTGTTTGGGAGATTTGTTAGGTTAACCTAGGTTAATTTAGATCATAAGAGTGAATTTAAAGTGAAGACCTTTTAAGAAAATGACTTTTCCACTTACAATCATATCTGCTAAGGTTGTGAGGACTTGAAATCGTACCTCATTTTGAATTCACATCTCTTTTTGGGAGATTTGTTAGGTTAACCTAGGTTAATTTAGATCATAAGAGTGAATTAAAAGTGCAGACCTGTTAAGAAAATGACTTTTCCATTTACAATTATATGTGCTAAGGTTGTGAGGATTCATAATCGTATCTCATTTTGAATTCACATCTCTTTCTTCTTCCTACTTTGATTTGCTAGGTTAACCTAGGTTAAGCTAAGCCACAAAGGTGAATAAGGGGATGAGGGTAGGTTGGCGAGCATTCTTAGACTAAAACCAGTTGTGACAGAGATCTAAGGTTGGCTAAAGAAAAAAATGATACTTCTCTGACTTTTACGTCAGATCAATCCGACGTATCGCGAAGGATGATTGACCTCTGCTTTATTTTTCCTCGATATGCAGGGGACTTGCAAAATATAGTATTAAGAACAATTAAAATAGTGATAATAATAATAATAAACTATGAAGACCGCCTTGTCTTGTATTTAAAGCCTCCTACTTATTGTTAAGTTCTTTGAAGCACATTTTGCCGTGTTTTGAACGAAATGATCAAAGTCTTATACCTTCGATGATTAATATAAGACAATATGTATTTGTATAACTGGTGCATTAAGGAGGCTTTCCTTAATATGATAAAGTTTAAATGCCTAAAGGTTCTACACCATTTAAGACGTGATTACATTATGTTGTTATTTAATATGCCATCTTCGGCCTGACAACAGGCATGGTCTTATTCAAATTTTGCCACCTAATGTTTTGTTGTTGTAAGGGAAAGCCAACTCTGTAGTGATGCTCTTTCCTATTCTCACGTAATGACGGCCAATTCGTTACATGTTCACAAATTCATTGAGAGGATAGATCGCTGTCTGGTATCTTCCAAGTTCAAACTTGAATTACATGGGATCGCTACTTCTGATTTTAGAACATTTCTGTCTGTACATCAGTTCTGGTGTTTCCAGAAGTGCCCTTCTTCATACATAAGGGGTAGATTATACAATTATTTCTACAATTCCACAATGATCGATGTACGTCGCGTTTGCTTTTAGTAAACTTTTCTGAAAACCATTTCAAACAAAGTAGAGAAAATTGATTATAAATATTGGCTGAAATTTATGGTAACTTTTGTCATTTTATCAATAATTCAATTGCTTTCTCTTATCCATTTTTCAAAGTTACATAAGAAATGATAAAATTATTATAAATCCATCTTTCGATACTGGGCCTAGAACATTGTATAACATTTACGTTTATATAACATTTACGTTCGTTATCTATACGCATATATATATAATAGCGTTTTTTTTTTAATAAAAATGTACAATTTTATTATTAATAATAATAATAATTTCATATGATTTATTTTTATTACAAACGGTCAACTACATCTGTGTATGTGTGTATTTATGTGATTCATATGTGAATGCGTGCGCCTACATCAGATTTAATTGTACATTACAAATGTTTATATGTGTATGTGCACCTTTCTATATGCATGCAGTTATTTGTTTGTGCAAGCGTGCCTCTGTTTATATGACTGTTAACCAAGTGTCACTTAAGTACAACAATACAATTCGAAAATTTACTCGAGTTTAATGTGTTGGTAAACACACAAACACTGACAGTAACAAGTCCTAGGCGAAGGAGCAAAACGGGACAGAGAGACAAGAAGAAAGACAGAATAGACAGACAGCTATATTGTAAATGTTATTGTTGTTGGTAGTTGCAGTAGTTGCTGTTATTATTATCCCGCATGTCCTTTACATATTTGTTTGTTTACTTGAGGTTGGTAGCACTTTTATATGAATGAAAATATCGTTAAAATAATATAAACTCAGACAAACATATATGCATACAAATACTACGTTCATATTAAAATTGGATTGCATACAAATAACTTTACGTACGTACTTACATTTACATTTATTTCGCATTATTGTGTGTAAACACAATAAGATTTTAATTGCTGTTTGCTCATGTTTTTATACCTTTATATGGCTGCATGTGTGTGTGTGTGTTGCGTGTGTGTGTGTGTGTGTATATATATATATGAGTGTACATGACTATTAGTGTGCGTGCGTGCATTTGTATGCGTTTATGTTAATAATGATATTGAAAATATTTCACAAAATTTTAATATTTATCCTTTATAAACATATAAAAATATACAGGCACAGGTGTTGCGACCGTCCGAGCAGGTGAAATAGTTTAAAGCCATTAATAAATAGGACAAATACAAAGAGATAAGAATGCCTTGCGTCCTGTCTTTTACAACAAATATTTATTATGCTTATGCACTCAAATAAAATAATAATAATAATGTTATGCATATGTGTGTCATAGGCAGACATAATACGTATCGCAAAGCAGAAACTTGACTTTTAGCTTCACTTGGTGGCTTTCATACGCATTTATTTCAAGCTTTAAGATTTCTAAGATTTTTTTCATATAAAACTTTAAAGGGAAAACCGAAGCTAGAGAAAAATGGTGTTCCGTTTAAGGTGACCTTAGCCGTACGTTAATGCCTTTATACTCATCACCGAAGGACGGATGAAGGATGCTTCAGAAACCCTATGTATTCTTGATGAGACTCAAATTCTGAATTGATTTAATCATGCCTGTGCGTCCGTCTGCCAGTTTATGCGTCTGTCCGTCTGTGCAATGTCTGTTGTAAATATTCTTCTGACCGCGAAAATAAAGCTACGGACTTGAACTTTGTCAAAAACATTTTAAGTTCTTACAGGTGGGTTGACATTGGATATAGTCAAAGTCGGTCGAAGGACACGCCTAGAATACCAAGTTAACTGAATATCTTTGGTTTTAAAACCAATAGAAAATTGGTTTTTGCCTATTACTCACAAAATACAAGAGATAAATCTACATAAAATTTAAATATACATTGCATGGGTCATGCTCTAGTACGTCTGCAGAAATGCAAAAATTTGGTCACGCCTATCTAATTTTACGGTGTGTCATAAATAAACTTTAATTCAAAACCTTTATAATGCAGAGAACTAAGCTTCAAAAACCTCGCAGAGTACATACATTCTTGGCCGCTTTTACATTTGGAACGCATTTAAGCACGTTCGTCTGTCCAACAACCCGGCTAGTCAAGCGTGCAGTACATGTAGCAAACATTCCCCTGTTCGCAAATAGAAAGATATCGCTTACAAATTTGAAGAAGAATTTGTAAATGACCCAAAGCGGTCAAAGGACACGCCTACAATGCCTACACCTATGTATCACAATCTGCAGGCACCTTCGCAATTCGTGTTTTTTACTTGTTACTCATAAAGTACACACTGTATAAATTTGCACTTTTTTTCTAAAAATAGAAATCAGCCACGCCCAGCGGATGAAAATGTAGTTCTTTTTTACTTTGAATTGTAGGCGACGGAAGGAAACATACAATCTAAAATCCATGATTCAACCAAGTAACGGAAAGACCAAGACGTCTATTGACTGCTGCCTGGTCAATATTAGCATTTTCCAAAGTTGTGCATACACTTATGAAATAAATCATAGTTATTTTGGAAAACAACAAAAACAAGAAGAAATGCATAGGAATATTATTTTCTTATACCCTACGTCACTTGCGCTATACGTGTTTAGTTCGTTTAGGTACTCACAAGCAAAGATAGGGGAAGCAAGTGGGCATAGCGTAGTTGAAAAGTAAGTGTATTTGTAATTTTCTTCTGTATTACGATAGTTAATGAAAACTGTTTCCATTAAGAGTAATTAGTAAATAATTAAGTATACGATCATCCATTTCTTGGCCTAGATTTGGCTACCTTATTCCAGGAACCGGTGCAAAACAGAACTATCATCCAGAGCATCATACGTTTAGTGTAATGTTTGTGCATTTTAAAATGTGGACAGTTGAACAACCGCTGAACGCGTTAAAATAGTAAAAACATACTACGAAAATACTTATTCTGTAGTACGTACGTCTCGTGCATTACTAACTTCCGTCTAAGCTTACTGAAGGCAAAGCAATGAATGTGAAGCAATTTGAATAAACTCGATCTGTAACAAGTGTGTTGAGGCCCATACATCATCGAAACGCATGCTCTATCGAAAGTATCGGTGCTATTAGTGAAAACGATCCAAATTTACCGCTTAAAGGCACGTATACAGTGTGAACTTTCCTCACTTCACGTAATGGCCAACAAGGACCTGTGCTTTCAACAGGAAGATGCCACAAACCTCCACAACAAATCCCGTTTCTCCATTGTTGAACATTGTAGAATATTTGGATGATGTGGTATGTGATGCAGATCCTAATCTAATGTTTTATTTACGCTTACCCTTGGAGTCACAAAGTAGGTGACCCTACACTACCGTAGCAGTAAGCAAGTAATTGTTGTAAAGACGAGAAACTTTTCTTTGACTAAGACTTTGATGAACTTTACCGGCTTATGACTATACTAGTTGGCGTCTTGGAGCCATTTCCATACAAAGTGTCAGATGAAAAATATGCCTTCACATGGAAGAAAGTTATAAGTTTTGATGCTTCATCACTCAAGTATTTAAAGGGTGTAGGGGATTTAATAGCGGCCTTGGTCGACTATAATATGTTTATTTGTTTCTAATATGTACATAGAATACATCAAGTATCGCAAGAAAAACTGATTTCTACAGAGAATTATTAGTAAAATCAAAAAATATATATTTTTTATTTTTCTTATTTCCGCCGTGCACTGTACAATATAAGCTCAGTTTGCGAGTGTACATGCTTTTTATTTAAGAGGACATTTGAAAACAATTAACATAATACCTTTAGTAGTGTATGCACAACAAATACGAGCAAATATATGCAAAGGAACGAATTATGCAAATATTTATTTACTGATATGTATATATATATATATATATATATATATATTTATGCATGTATTTAAGTTAAAGTCATTGATATACCGTTGCTTCTTTATTGCAAATGCAGTTAACGCAAATGTGTCGACATGTGTAGTCGTTACACGGAATAACATTAAAAGGAAATCACTTCAATACGAAACAAATGAAACGTAAGAATATAAAAAGCATGAAAACCTATATGCGAATATTTTACGATTGCATTTAATATGCGAACTTATATACGAGCGTACATGCACGTATAAATCAATTTATTGTCGTTAAACGAATTCCGCTGTTATCCTGGATTAATTTGTTACTTAATTGCATGCGCGTTCAGATTCCACGCATACGCACGCACAATCGAAATGACCGTAAAACAAGTAAGAAAATTTATCTACGCCTCGTAATGAATCTTTGATACCCACCACCTTTACCAAATATGGTATAAATTCCAAATATTTTATTACATACGGACATGTTAATTGATTGATTTTTCTTTATGAAAGCGTTCGTATCGAACTTTTAGTTATTATTTGTAAATACATGAAAGGTGTGTTTGCAGGCGTACCAACGTTTTGGATCAGAGTTTCTCGAAATAGTGGCAAAAAATTTGTTTGCTCCAAGTTCAAGTGAATGAAAATTGGGCTTGACCGACTGACCACTCACGACGTCGTAGCTACGAACACTGCCTTGGCAGTCGCGATTCTTACCTGGTTCGCTACACATGCCGAGACATATCAGCAGCTCGTCTCTAAGAATAAAGACAAAGTAACTTAAAATTTGACGAAAGCAGAGATTCGAAAAGATTCTTTCGCTATAGGTGAAATGAAGGACGATTGCGGAAGGTTAAAGCGAAAGACATTGAAAACCTTAAGAACGTTTATATGGATTTTCGGATCAATGATACCTGATGTGAATTTAATAATATAGACTGTATTAATGTAGGTGTGGCCACTGGCTGCTCTAGTTCATTTTCAAACATTATTTGCGAGATAAGGGAAGCTTTATCTTTTCCTGTCTTTGCTCCTGTGCAGCCTATGAAACTTTCTCCATTACATACAAAAATACATTACATATATATACTAGTAGTCTGTAATCTAGAAAATTGCCACTTACCTCCTAATTGTCATCAGCTGTACATGAATCTTACCGCAAGTTATTCTTCCACTTTAATGCTGCTCTGTTAGGGTCTGCGAATTGATCTGGTCCTGGTGACAATAATTTAATAAGTGATGGAAAAATTCAATTTACTTTTGGGCGAAACATCTCACCGCTAATTATTTCTTACACTTATAGCTTATTTTTTCGACTCAGCAGTTCATTGGTTGGACTTAATTATTAAATTTATTCCTTCTCTTTGCTGTGAGTAACTGTTTCTTTTTGTTTCTCCTTTGATTACAATATTCGAACGATATTCGATTCTATGACTTCACTTATCGACCTTAGACCTTTTAATCGGCTACCGTAAGTAATATCTATTGACGCCTAAGTACAAGTAACGGATTTTGTTGTCGGTAACTTTCCGTCAGTTATTAGCAAAATAAGCTCACGTAAGAGTTGATACTTTAGTGCCCTATGGAACTCTTTAATGCTTATATAATTTTTTAGCAATACATTTTCATTATTACAAGCGGTCGCATAGCGTTCTGCCGGAATTTATTTCTTATAAAGAATCTTAGCAAAATTTTGTATGGAACTTTATTAAACAAAAATGATACTCTTCATGCAATTAAGAAATGATTACCTTAAGATCCCATACTGAATGTGACTGATTGGGCAGAAATTTTTATCAAATACCAAACAATGCCTACAGATTTCACTCTCATCATTTCGCAATAAGATTAAAGAAGGAAATTAAAAAGTTACTGGTTATTGTACTCGAATATTTGCCGCCATAAGAAATTTATCACATCCCTGGTCGGGTATGAATTCTTAACATAAGTGTTTGCGGGAAGGGGCGCCAAACAATGGCAGATTGCTCTGCGCGCCAACATTACAATTAAAAGTTACTTCTATATATGCTTTTCGCATGTATGCAAATGTATGTCGGGTACGTAATGGTTCGGATTAGTCCGCATAAAGACATTCTTTTGTATTCAAAAATTTACTCAAGTTTTCTTAAAATATTACGCTACACCGACGCTTGTGTAAACAATATGCCTTTCATTAAAAGTTGAATAAAAAAAGCAAAAAAAAAGAAGAAGAAAACTCTTTTTTTTATACATGTTCAACTTGATCTGTTGTGAGCCACAATTTCTCTTCTGCACATAAATTACAGATTTAAAGTTTAACGTAAATGAAAGTAAAATAATAGTCAAATGAATTTTATGCCGTGAAACAAAGTTTAATACCGTCGTGGGACTGTGCTATTCATATGTCGGATTAATTTAAGCAGAAAAAAACAAAAAAAAAAGAGAGAAAACTTAAAATGAAGGAAAGTTGTGAGAAAAGAAATTTTACATATTCCTGATCTGTATATGCACATATATAATTTTTATTTCATATGTATGGATATATAGGTATGTGTCATTCATTATTAAAACAAAAAAAAGGTGGGATATTTTCCTTTTTTCTTTTGTTTTTTTTTTTTTTTTTTTTGGACTATATTCGTGCGCCTACATCTGCATGTAGAAAATTAATGGGTTTTTAATTGTCTCTATACGAAGCAAAGGGTCGACAAACGGATTAAACTCGAGCACAATGCCAACGACAACGACAACGCCAACGACAACGACAACGCCAACACCAACGACAAACGTAAAAGGTGATTGTCATGACTACCTACAAATGATGGAGAAGATATTTTAAGTGCATACATATATATGTATATGTATAGTCGAGAGCGGCTGAAAATGATAAAAATGCACAATGAAATTAACTTCTCGCCTGCATGAAACATATATAAATATATGTGAATGTGCATTTTCAGCTTGCCTACCTATCCACCCAATATACTGAACGAGTTGAGGCTAGAGAATCTCTTTTTAATTAAATTGCAGATAATATTGAGTTGCCAATGTTGCAAGCTGCATAAATGGACAAACAATTCGATTCGTATACAACACTTATACACATGGACAATACATATGCATAAATAAACTAAAGGAATGCAATAAAGTTTACAATTATTTAAAATTTTCCGTGACAAATTTACACACACGCATGCATGCGCTTATATATAAATATATATATATGCAGAGAAAGCCGCATGCGATCAACGCTTACCACAGTAGGAAAGTCATTTATCATTTAACAACACGGTTGGAGCTTGAAAAATTTATGAAAATGTTTAAGCAAAATCTATAATAAAAAGAATCATTTTTCTTTTCCCTTTTTTCTCTCTCTCTCTCTCTCTCTCTCTCACTCTTCCTTTTTACATTTCATTCATTTTCATGCTTTTTCTCTAACTGCCAGAGAGCATATGAAATTATTTATTATCAATACAATTTGTTAAGTAGCGAAAGAAAAAAAAAAAGAAAAGAAGTACAAAACTTCCAAAAACCTTTTCTTCTCATTGAGGTGAACCTTGAGCACCCTAACTGAATTATCCGAGCAACAAAACAGCTTTACTCATACTGACTTGATTCTTGTCTGATTTCTATATCTTCTGCGGCATTGCTTTGTGTTCTGCTAACGGAACAATTTCCGGGAAAAAATTGCTTTCGCATTTGCTAGAGATTGTCGCTAGTAAGCCTTTGAATGTTTCTTCTTCAAATTTCGCCTACGACCCCATGCCGTGCTGCCGGAGGCATAACACCGTGGCCGATTGAATTCGTGAACTCATATCGACCGCGAATATATTGAGACAACTCAAAACCTACTCTTCTCTATATCCCAGGATCCATCCACGTGAATACTTGCGTTTTTTGACTGCCGATCTCAACGTTCGTTGAAAAACGATTATAGTCTTAACTAAGACAAGCAGAATAGGAAAACCATGGAATCTTGATCGGGTTCCATTATGGCTGTTATAAAGAACTTACAAGATTTGACACGAATTTCGAATTGAACCGCGTTATGTCTTCACAGAATGATTAGATGAATTGTAAAAGAGTTCAAATTTATTCATTGACAATTTATTGTTTCGCTTCTGGGAAGAAGAGACTTGCGTGGCCCCTTAGCCAGTAGCTAGGCAATGGACTACTGTACAGCCAAGCGAATCGCAACTGACGGAGTCGAAAATCAGTGACTTAGATCATTCTTTGCAAGTAAATGGTTACATAATAGTTACTTGCGCTTACCTTCGCTTTAAAAAATTCAAACCTAAAACAATGTATGTACACCGTTTACTTTATCTTTGCTGCTTACTTCCGACTGATTTTCTGTTTATGTGACTAGTACTTTAAAGCCAAAAACCAATTAAAAAACTATTTACTTTGAACTTTGCTGTTCCCTTGATCAATGATCTTCTCCATAATTGCATAATTTAAACATTTCACCTTGACAGCCAAGGGGCATTATTTTCTACTAATTACCAATTTTACTTAACTCCTTTGTATGCTGTTGCGTGTGTTTGTCTATATTTTATATGCATTCGGAGTGTAAGCTACTTCGATTCACTTTCTCATAGTAAAAAATTCATATATTCCAGAAAAAAATTATTGAACAGGTTAACCAAAGTATTGTTAGACGACCAAATGAAGCCATATTGAGGTATCGTCAGAAAAATTGACGCACAATTCGAGCAGACAATAACTCATCTATTGGCATCCGTGATAATCGGAAGTAGTAATGGCCGCAGAAAACAATGGGGAGAGTAAGACATTCTGTATTAGAGTTGCAAACACTTCCTGAGAGAATTTCGCTACAAGCGATCAAATTACTTCACTGTGAAAACTCACGTAACAGAAAGGAGCGCAGAAGTTCATCACTCAGGTAGACCTTCACTTATTCGGAGATAATTAGTGCTGCCAAGCATACACAGTATCCCAATAAAGTCTACAAACAAAGTAAGTTGAGTCTCGAAATATATTTTTTAAAACACAAAAACTTATACTAAGCTTATCATTAAGTATTTAATCTTAAAAGTGTAAGGCTAAATATTTATTGCGTCTAGTAATGAGTAACGAATTCTTCAAATTCAAATTGCATTATTTCCTGCTCCTTAGTAGTTTTCTCAGTTGCATGCGTTTGTCTGTTATTCTCCCACACCTTCGCCCGCCTCGCAACAGAAAGAAGCCCAGAAATTTGCTACTCATCCAGGCCTTAAGCGTTTCGGAGGTAATTGGTGTTGCCAATCGTATGCGTATGCCCAACCTCATCTCTATGGTAGAGTATGCCTACCTTCAACTTATATCTGTTTAACGTGTTTTCACTTGTCATTTAATTTTAGGCGTACCTTCAAACTAATCACTTCCATTTTCGAACCTTACCTGTAGCATTGAATTAAAAATATATCCCCTATGTCCGTATATAATCCGTATCAAGAAATTCCACAAAAACATAGACAGTTAGACGGACATGACTGAATCAACATACCAATGTAACGGACATTAGAAATATTATAGAATGTCTTATGCATATCCGAGGATGTTACAAAAAGGATAACAAAACTAATATAAACTTAATCTCCGAAGGAGGATATAATTTAAGAGGAAATTTCTGAATATTCGGTTATCTTTTATTAATAAATCTAAAGAAATCCACTTAAAAATTTCAGCACTTACACACACACACACAGAGAGAGAGACATGATAATATATTCAGGAAGCAGTGGAGTTTTAGGAAAAATAAATCATCTATTGCAACTTAAATAATAAAATCATTCGTCAGCATAATAAATTCTATACAAAGTCATCACAAGCTAAACTAAATCAAGCCCAAGCAGCCCGAGCCAGCCCGACCCTACCAAACATAACCAAGTTGTTTTCAAGAATAAAGCAATACTAGTAATAATATATTATCCTTTTTATAACTTTGAAAATGACGTTGACTGTGCCTGACTGTGTGTATATGTGTATATATATATAAAAATCTCAATTCATATTTCATTACCATGTGATATGTGCTATACTGCATACAGCATACAAACGCATTCTCTCGCATATGTATAGTAAAATACTTGGTACAGATAGTGTAAGGGGAAAAAACTCTTTATCACTTTGCTGGGCATAAAAGAGTAAAAAACGAACTATCGAACAAACACACATTAACATTAGCAGCAATGCATAAATTTAAAGATGACTTTTTCGAGTTGGGATATGGGGAGGCTTTCTGTTAAGCTTGATTTCACAGAAACGCATATATTTCGTGAATAAATGGTATCATAATGTTTAGGAATACATTAATGGAAAGAAAGAACAGTGGTACAATAATTTAAAAAATATTTATATATTTCGCCGATCTTAGTATATTTACAATTCAAAAAGTTGCAAAAAAATTGCTGCCCACAATACACATTTAACGAGTGATGCTATTGCACTTCTTTGACAAATGTTGTAAGAGAGATGCTGCGATCATTCCAGCGGGAAGAAAAATCCATTACCTGAACGAAATTTTGAGCTTTTTCTCAAGCTGTGCGAAAAGAGTGTGTGTGAAAAGAGACTCCTTGACTCTGTAAATAGAAATATATTGATGTAATTTAATTGAGATGATCATTGAATGGATATTAGATTGGAAGCTATTCGAAAGCAGTTAGCGCTCATGCAAAGAAAATGGTGAAAATTTTGATAGTAATTGTGAAGCCGGCTGTTGAACTATGCATTTCGTCCATTGCCTACCATATTGTTACGAAAATCCCAAATTCAGTAAATGTCAGGTAAGTAATTTTCGTAATAATAAATTCCCTAAAGAAGGAAAAACCAAATGAGCATTCGCAGGCGCCTCATGCAGCTGCAGGCCAATGAAAACGATTAGTGGAAAAACAAGGCTGGGATTAGACCATAACCATAAATTTAGGTATAGTAACATTCTTGTAAAATTGTATATAAATCGAATATTTGTGAAAAGTAGAGTTAGTCTGGCAAGAACGTAGAAGTTGAGAGTACGGCCAAAATATATCGTAAGTAAATATTCCTACTGTTGTGAAAGACAAAGTACTAAAATAAAAGAACTTGAAAGTGTATTTGTTTTGATCAAAATATCCACGATCTAGTGATACGGACTGTATCATAGCAAAAGCGAATTTCATAACAATATCTTAATACGTATATAGGAAATTGTGCATTTCTGTCTTTAATAAACTTTTCTTCTTTTTTTTTTGATTGCATGACCAATCGCGCAGGGGATGTCCCCTAAATGTGTGTTAGGGTGAGGATCGAAAAGAAGTGAGGTAAGATAGGGAAGCTGCCGCAACCTAATGGTTGTGTGCGCAATGGGTAAGAGATATATCTTCTATAGCTGCGATCAAAGTGAACTCAACCACATTGAGATTTGTACACGCGAACGCTGACATCGTAGTCGCGATGGAGACAAATCGGCACGTTCTAGCGAAAATTCCTCGAGACAAGAGATGGAAGAACATTTAAACAAAAAACGATATATTCGTGGTTTTTCGATTATAGATTAACTGTAAAAACTAATAGAAAATTTGTTATAATATTAAAAAACGTCTATGGGTTATTGTAAAGCTCTTCAAAACGCGATGAAAGCCGATAATACAACTTCAACAATTCTCATGCTTTTTTTCGCCTCAATTTTTTTTGTAAAACATTTATTCATACAGCACTCTCTGGAGGAGCATTCTCAGTAGAGAAGAGAATTTTCGAAAAATGAATTTAAAACTTTTTTATTAATGCAACAGTGTCTTTGTTTTGGTCAAATAATGAACTTTTTCACTCAAACACAAAAAGCAATAAAGCTGTAAGCTGTTTTATGGATTGAAATTTGTTTCAAACGAAACATCGACAGCAGAGCCACTTAAATTAATGCCTGATGTCATTTTATATGTTTTCAAAAATTCTTCTTATCCCTAAACAAACGCTTGATAATCTCCCAATATATTGTTATTCTAAAACATTTCTTTCTCTCTCGCGAAAATTGTCAAAAAAAAAGCTTCTTCTGTACCACTGGTACGGATGTCCGTACTGCCTGCAAGGACTTGGACTAAAAACACTACACCGAGCCACAGCTCGTCATTAAATACCCTGCACCACCGTACAGTTATGAAGAGTATTGTTCTGAAAGACATTGTATGGGAAATGATAATAAAAACCGTCCCACCAAAGCCAATCATTCTCAATAGCTGTCGTCCTTAAGCCAATACACGCCAGCATACCAAAATGTAGCAAAAAAATTTCACAAAAATTGCACACTGCACATTGGACACGAGAAAACAAGACGGACAAGCGGACAGACAGACATACAAATAGACAAGCTTAGAGAAAATAGTCCTAATTTATTTGTACAACAAAATGTAGGTCTACCTCCAGTCCTTCTGGCTGTTGCATATATCCACGCAAACGAAATATATTCTTGTACACTACAAATGGCGTAGGGTATTACAATGTTATCTCTAAAGTATTTATGTTACACTTAAAAATTAAAAAATGTCACTCAATGGTCATGGGTTCAAATCTCAAGTGTGGTACGGCTTTCAATAAACGCGATAGCCGATTGTTAAATGCTGGCTTTTTAAGACTTTAGAAATTATTTTTCTAACTAAAAAAATTAGTGATAATAAAAAAGTGTAAAAATTAAAAATGTTGACGTTCAATATATACACATCTGTTTATATTCTTAAAAACTGTGATATATCTAAAGGTGAAGACTTAATTTTAACGTAAGATTGCTATTAATCATCATTAGCTTAATTAGATAAATATAACTTTCTGTCCTTTTTAATGTGCGTTTATTAAAATGATATCATTTTAGTTTAATTGGTGATAATCGCATTTAAGCGTTGAATGACACTTGAATTATTCTTGAGTATTTCACTAACATATCAAAAGTAAATGACTGAACGATTGTATTAATTGCTGCGATTAAAGCTAATTTTTTTTCTATTAAAAATGATAAAACATTAGGATATTGATGTTTATTCGAATTTTGGGTAAACTTTTGCAAGTAAAGCGTAATAAGAAGAAAAGTGAAAGAATGTAGAAAAACAAAAATATTTTGGAAAATTTTATCTTTTTATAGCCCACTGTTCTATTAAAAAATGAATGAAAACGAAAAGAACCAAGTAGTCAAATATATCGCATCGACACACGTACGAGTTGGTTGGTTGTTTGGTTGGCTGGTTGGTTGCTTGCTTGGTTGCTCTAAAGCAATAATATATGGTTTTGCTTCAAATATTAATAATAATTTTTAAATTATGATTTTATGCCTTTGGTACTTATCACCCAACGAAAACAACCGACAAACTAAACGCAATCTTTGCGCAAAAGGCAAAAAATCATAAACAAACACTAAAAAGTTTATAAAAAAGCCTAAAAGTTACACAAATGTAAACAATGTGTGCAAACTATGTGAAGGGTGTGCACTTATATTTATTTAGAGAAACAAACCAAGAAATTTCAAGAGATCTCTGTTAGCTGTTAACAGAATTCGGTTAAACAAAGTCTTGGAAGGATTTAAATCCAAATATACTTAAAATAAAATTTTTTGGAACAAGTGTTTGTGCTATGTCGAAAGGGAGGTTGAATAAGCGAAAGTTTGCTTAGCTACTCTGGGTAAACCAAGCCCCCCCTTTCCAACTATTTGCAGATTATATTAAGTCTTTCTCGTGGAATTTTCTTATAGTATTTGTCTTACGAAATGCAAGCAAAGTTCGAAAGATCACTGTAGGTAAACCATGCCCTGCGAATAAATGAAACTGGTATTGCGTGAGTCCTTGATTATTAGCCATTTTCAACAATGGGCGGATTATATGAAATTTTTTGCGGGGCATTTTTTTATGGGACTTTGGGGAAACCATGCCCTGTGAAAAAATAAAATTAATACCGTATCAATCATCTATTAACATTAATATGGAATACAGAAAGTAAACAAATTATATTCAGTCGTGAGGGAGTCTTTTGTACCCATCGCCATTATTCTAAAAGGACCAAAAAATTAAAAGAATTAAATTCGCATGCTTTATTATATAGAGTGGGTGCGGCTGATTTTTTTTATTTGGAAAATAAAAGTTTTTGCAACATAGACGCGTGCGTGCTATAGGCTTCCTTAGAAAAGTTTAAGTCACGTAGGCGATATATTCGTTTTCGTAAACAATAGATTCTAAACACCATAGATACTAAACAGTTGCGCGCAGACAAGTGGGCAGACGAATAGACGGACATAATTAAGTGCATTCAAATTTGAAACTGACCAAGAATTTTACATATTACATAGATTTTTTTGTTCGGCTGGTGTATATATGGACTGATCACATTCATTTCTACGTTGAGCCTTTATACAGACTGGACGAAGCTGAGAATTCTGCCTTACAGTTCTGTTTCCATGTGAGGGATTACGTCTGTCTGCTCATTCAACCTGTGGCCATAAGCCAACAATATATATCTCTATCTTGAAATCTCCCCATAAATGATTTTCCCAGGATACCACATTCATCCTGAATATCTTTACCTCAAATTGTATTCCTTTTTTATGATTTGTGCTTAAGGGTTAACTGGAGAGGCAACTTAGACTTAAAAATCGGACAATATCTCTCAAATGATGATCTCTTTCGTACTATTTAAAAACCCAACGACGGACAAATATTTTTTTTGAAAAATAATTAATGTGTATTTACCGTTTCAAGTCAATAAAATAGACCCTCGCTCTTAAGATTATATATAAGCGGAGCACCCGTTCTAGAGATTCCTTTTCGTTCTACTGTAGCAAATTATATCATTAAACAAGTAATAAAGCATTTTGATACAATCCTATGATAGATGTCAGAGGATTTTATTTCCAGTAAATAATTAGCTCCATCACATCCACTTGGTATAATTAATTTGAAAAAGACCACTAAAAAATATAATGAAGATTTTGGACATTCCAACAAGATTGTTTTATGTTTTCTCCTAATGTTAGCAAACATTCTAAGTGACATACATAGCCATTAAATTTTAGTGTAAATTATTTATTTAACGTCAACTTATAAGAGAAATTAAATAAATGTATTGAGTACCCACTTGCGATATGAAATTTAATTCACGAAGAATTACTAAGGTATACATTTAGGATGAGGAGAAAACAATACCAACAAAGTAATTCGAATACACACGATTAGCATCTTGATCTAGATAACGAAATTATTAAGCGGATGACTTACTAGCAAATTTATGTATGTATAAGAGTGTGTGTCGTTAATTCGTTGTTGACCAATTTAGCGACGCAACAAACACTCACACTAATAAAAGTATTCCGCAAAAAAACGTAACCGACCGCAATTTGTTTTTAGCAAAAAACCTCGAATATTTACTGAACAAATTTATTAACTATTTTCAGGTTTGGTAATTTTCTGCAGGCCTACCAACTTTTTTACAGTAGCTACTTACCTCAACATGGTTGCCATCATTCTTCAAACCACTATCTGTTGGCCTAAGATCAATACTTTAGACAAATAGGTTGACAGAACTAAGTCGATTATGTTTTTTCGAATCATTACGAAGATAAGAAGTAATTTTGACAGCAAAATGTGTATGTTTTTTATTCCTAGCAAATTGAGTAAATGCCGTCCAAGATTTTGCGGGCAAAAAGTCTTTAGATGATTTTGTGTCGACAAATCCGTAATCATTTCATGCATTCTACCGCAAGTCGGTTGTCGGGGAACGATATCTCATTGAGGGAATATCTTATTAGATCGCAGTTGTAGTGAGCTGTCAGTCGGTGAAGGCTTAACTTACTGATCGGATAAAAATCTACTCTCGCTCTTTCCTTAGTCCGTTCTAATCCCCACCATGTTGCGGAGAGAACCCCTGACTGATTGGTCATATTAGAAAAAAACAAACTTTAATGTTTCTGTCCGATAGGTTTCAGTTCTTGAATCATTTGAACTTTGCAAGTATGAAAAGGTAAATCTTCTCGTAGAGAGGAAATGTCCATTTCTTGGCCGCTATGCCTAACTGTTATGTTGGTAGAGTGCCGACGAATTTAAGATATCTTAGTGCCTCTCTCTCTCTCTCTCTCTGTTCTTTGTTCTGCTCAAATGTCTAGATACATACCCTCTACGAAAGCCCCGCGTAACATATCTCAAGCGCACAAACGAAATAACAAATTTAAAATACCTTCATTATACGGTGTTTGATATGCCCATTAAAAAAACTAAAGACACAGTAAAGATAAGGGCGAGAGAAAAAGAGATTATTATCTAACAAAGAATAACTCAGATGTAGGTTTTATTAATAATACAACTCTTCTTCCAAAAAAATAACAATTATTTAACCTTGTCCATGAGAAAAGTTCATAAATTCGGTAAACAGTATCACTCAAATTGATTATCTTTCATATCTAAAAAAGGTTAACAAGAGATAAATATAACAAGTAGACTTATTAGCATTGACTAGCTTTCCTAAAGGCAAGCATTTCAGTTCACTAAATTTTAATTTTTATTAGCGCCATTAGTGGAAAGCAATGAAAATCAAAAATTCCTTGTGGTTCTTAATTCTCATAGATGCGATGTACATCTCAGCTTCCGGGTATCGGCAAAAAGCAGATCCTGAACTAACAGCTGGTTTTATACAAGGGGATATGATACTTGATTCAATGGCACGTAACGGTTGGCGCGACGACATTTTGCAATGGCCAAACCAAACAGTCACTTACAAGTTCTTCAATCAATTTTGTAAGTAAAAGTAAGTCTTTCTAAATCATCTTCTCTAAGGAGTGCACTAATTTCGCCTTGCAAGGTAGTGTGCTTTGCGTTAGATACACAGCAGCTTTGATAATTATAAACGAAAAGGCAAAGCTTATCAATAGGTGCACCATATGACCGTGGGATCATAATTTAGACCAAAGCAAGTAGGAACAATCCAGTAGGCCATGACTCATCATTAAATGAACCATCTCGCACTGGTTTTATATATGTAAAGACTTTTTCAATTAAGTCACTGTATAAGAAGAATATATAATCGAAAAAGTAAACCGATACAAACTATATTCAACAGCATCCGTTCTTGGACCAAAGTATGTTAGCGTAGAAATTTCATCAAAATGCGCGGTCCATAACTTGAACACGTGAAAACAACGACGAGCAGACAGACAGACAGGCATAATAAAAAACGAATCTATCTCAAGTCCTTGCACCACAAGCGGTACAGAGTATAGAAAATATGCATTAATTCTTTTAAAAAGTTAATAATGCGAGTAACGTAAGTAATAGAAGACCCTTTATGATAAGTGAATTAAAACTAATACAAGTGCGATGACAAATTACTCCGCTGGTGGTGGACACATATTACTTGTCATAAGCTTATCTTTTCTTTTCACTTTTCCTTAATTTTATTTTTTTTTCTTTAATATATTTGAATAGCGGACGCTCATCGCAATCAAATATTACGCGCTATGCATGTGATTCAATCAGTGTCTTGTATACGTTTTAAAGAGATTATTACCAGTGATGACGAGACCTTTGTTAATATCACTAATTACAAGCGATCGTGTTTCTCAAACGTAGGATGGCAGAGCGAACGTGTGCAACAATTAAATTTGGAGACATCACCCATTGGAGAAGGTTGCTACCGTTTAGGAACAATAATACACGAATTGCTGCATACTTTGGGTTTCTTTCATATGCAAAGTTCATCAAATCGTGACGACTATGTACGCATCGTTTGGCGTAATATAAGAACGAAAAATCATAAGAATTTTTTAAAACTTCCACAAGCAATAGCGGATGATTTCGATCAGGAATACGATTATGGTAGCATCTTACATTATAGTCGATATGCTTTTTCAGCGAATGGAGGAAAAACCATAGTACCATTGCGTGCAGAAAAGTATGGTGATGAAGTGATAGGACAGCGTTCTTACTTAAGCCGTGGTGATATACAGAGATTGAATGTTATGTACCGATGTCCAATAAAGATAAGAACATCCGATGAGGTGCCTAACTTTGTTCAATTGTTTTAAAATAAATTAGAAACTTTAATTATTATGCAAAAGAGCTGACGACACTCGTCACTCGGCATTGTCTAATTAGACTTTGAAAGTGGGAAAAAATACATTGTTCTGGCGTTTGACTTCTCGAAGAGCTTCTAAACGAAATTGACTGTCGACAGACAATGGACATTAGTTAGTTTTGAAATTGTCAACTCCTCACCTCTCCACATGGTCATGGCCAATAGTCATTGACAAGTCATATGGGTTTGTGAGACTACAGGGACCCGACGTTATTTGAATCTTTTTAAACAAGACATTTTTATTACAAATATGTGTTGCTTTTTAAAAATTTCCTTCTTCTTAATTGCGGGATAAGGCATGCAATGCACAAAGAAAGAAATTAAGAAAATATAATACAAAACAAAACAAAACTGAACTTTCGTGAAACTCAGAAGTTTTCAATGCAATCCTTTGATTATTGGCTTCGTATTTGTTGTCTTTAAAAAAAATGATAACAACTTTTTGGTTGAAATAAGAACTGAGTTTATATGCATTATTTATTTATAATAAAAACAAATAAGAACATTTAAGCAAAGGCAAGGCAGACCTTGTGATATCCTACGCAATTTCATCTAATATTCATGCTGAAAACTCACTTTCTTTTGATAACTGGCTCTATTCTTGTTAATAACCGCAATTATATCCCGTTCCAAGTTGTCACTACGAAAACGGAACTTTATGAGCCATCCATAACAAACCAAGTTATTTTATATTCCACGTGATTCCTACTTCCGGTTGCCTTCTCTCTAGATTTTCAATATGCGCGAAGAAAATATCGATGCCAGCGTATTTCTTACACTCTCTGATATCAACAGTAGTTACTATGACTTCCATAGAAATATTGGGCTGTGACGGTGCGTTTTAATACGATATTTAATGCAAACCATCCTCGTATTGTCTTCTATATGTATGGACTTGTAATGTAATGCCGTTCTGTTTCTCTGACATATACTACATTCTTCTTTTTATATATACTACGCTTGTAATGTCCATGTTTATTTATTCATAGGCTATTTTCAAACTCATTCCGGATCAAAAACAAGGAAAACCGCTACAGTCGGACACCGCCTACCATTAAATGCGCTACACTACTTCGTTTAGTACATTTTTTCACATATAATAACTTAAAAAATAAAGCTTTACAGGGCATTGTAATGATCGAAAACGTGGTCCGAGCCAAACCATTTTCAACAACAGTGGTTCCTAGGACAAAACATGCCGGTTTAATTAATTTCATCAAATTAATTTGGCAATTACGACCTGTAAGTTAGCTACAAGCAAACACGATAGACAGATCAGTTTAGAAAGTGATTCCGAATTGATCGGTATAATGAAAGCTAAGTCTATCTCAAGTTCGTACATACCTAATACACTCTTGTATCAAAAATGGTGTAGGGTGTAAGCAGTTGAGTCCCCAGCTACTGCTGCTATATGGCATAGATTGCTTTTTTAATTATTTTCGAAAGAATTTCCTGTAAATATTTACTAAGTAATATCTATGTTCCAAGAATCTTTTTGTTGTCTTGCATTCAGCTGCATTCGTTTGATGTTCAATTTATTTTAAAGCAAGTCTTCTCTTCTTCTTGACAACCTTTTGAAAGTGTGTAAACGGATATTCTCTAATTTATAGCGTTTAACATAGTTCTGATTTTGAACTCTACTCTTGCTCTTCCTTTTCATTTTCCCTCTTCAGCTCAACGATTGTTTGCTAGAAGACTTGTTCTCTTAAGGTATACATAAACGAATCATTTGATAGATATGGAAACGCAGGTGATAAAACAATAGAAATTGTTTCTCAAGAAATCCTCTTAACACACAGAAAGCAGCAAAAGAAAAAATCGTCGAGGCAAATAAGGTCAATCTTGTTTAACATTCGTTCTGTCCCTCTCGCCTTTTTTCATTATATCTCTTCTTCTATGCTTTTTACTTTCTCTGTCGTGTCAGAGTAATTGAACTTGATATGTTGTTTATATGTAATGCAACTTTTATAAAACTAAATTGATTTATTTTTCTATCTTGAATAGCATTTCAAATCCTTTGTAGATAAATGTTTAAAATGAATTTCAAGGTTTCAGGTTAAATTTGATGAATATTTAAATGTATGGAAAAGAACAAATAAAAACATTACAGTGAGTCACGACCAACCATTAAATATCCTACACGATTGTACTCATATAACGGCTTTTCACAATAAAGCGTTTTGTGGGAAGCGGTCGAAAAAGTGATTCGGCCCGGGTTGCTTTCAGTGATGTTCGCATTTCAACCAAAACATGTCAGTGCGCGAAATTTCAGAAAATATCTCAAAGATTTTTGCATGCGGGTTAAACAGAAGAAAACAAGTCGGACAGGCGAATAGGCGGACGGACAAGTTTAGATCGATTCATAAGGTGAATCTGAGTTGATCTGTATAACAAAGGGTAAGTCTATCTCAAGTCCTCCTGTATGTTGCACAAATGCGCAAAAACAATACATCGTTGGGTCGCAAAAGAATCGTATAAAAATCAGCTCATATGCATATATACCCAACTTGTTGCGACGGAATGAATTTAACCATGTTTCTTTTTTAGTCCGAAATTATCTTGCAAAAAGCAAAATTTGATTTCAAATTTTAGAGTAATATCAAAATTGAACTAAATCATAGTTAATGCTTCTAAGATTCCGTCAAATCAACTCAAAAGACTCGGTGACGATTTACGGAAACCATTTACAAACAATTCTGGTTCATTATATCAGTGGCGTTAAGTCAATCTGATCTATAGCAGATCTTGTGATACCAAGTAAATTAGACCGATGGATGACATTTGAAACATGTTGATCTGTTTACGTGTCCATCTGTCCGTCTGTGCAATTGTGTAATATCTATGGTAGATATCGCCTAAAAACTTGCGAAAGAATTTCAAATTGACCCAAACCTGTTAAGGGACACGCCTACAACGCCTACATGTATATGCAACAAAAACTGCCTTTGCTATCTGTGCTTTTTGCTTATTTACTCATAAAGTATAATACATCCACCGTATAAATTTTATTCGAAATATTGAAGAAACCAGCCACGCCCATTCAATATTATAAACTACGATAGTTTAGTTGTTCTCCTTCTTCTTAGGATCATGATGATGGTTATGAAAGATACTGTCCCGACCAAATATGAATTTCTTACTTGTTTTTTCAATCTTTTTAAGATAATAGTAAAGGGTATAAAAAATTCGGTCACGACCAAATATAATTTTCTTACCTATTTGCAGTGATAATTATCCAACGATGTTTATTTTTTCCACTTTGTCGTATATTTACACTGTAAGTTGTACATAGAACTTTTCATTTTTAGCAAACAAACATCTGTTTAGACAAATTATTCATCGCTTATTTCAAACTTCAATGTGTCGATACCTGCAATTGACTCTACCAACTAACAACTCTGCCTTTAGGTAAGTAGAAATAAGCAGCTTGTAACACTCTTTAAGAGAACACTACGAACTATTTAACTTATGAGATATGAACAAACGAGCTTCAAACTGATCTAATTGCCATTAAGTCCGAAGACTAACCAATGCATAATATCTGTATCGGTTCTCAAAGAGCACATACCATAATTACGTGGCGTTCCAATCATTCGTTTACGAGATGCAGTGCTTTTAGTGGCGATACGTTTGCGATTTTCAAAACAATGAAAACATACGAATTACGTATATTCATTACGCATTGCTTTTTGATGGGAAAAATACCTTTTAAACCCTGTATTCATGCGAGGCGAAATGATTGAAAATTTGAGGGTGGTTTACTGATTCTAAACTAGCTCGTACAAACACTGACGGAGATGAACGCGTTACACGCGCAAAGACAATGCTGCTGAAAATTCTTTTCGATAATCAACAAGTGAAGCTGCACGAGATGGCTAACATCATAAAGAGGCATGGGTAAGCTGTTCCCCGGTTGGGTATGAGAGGAGAACATTTCATTGAAAACTTGCAATGAATTGTAGTTGGAATTGCTGGGCTACTTATTGTCCCGTTCAGCGATTATTATCCGTGCGTAATATTCCATACAAAGACTGCGTTAAAGTGGAAAGGAAGAGGTAAAACGAACATTATGTCGCGAATTGGGGTCGAGTGAAGGAGGAAATTATCCGAAAACAAACTGTCATAATAGACTGACAAAAACAAATATTTTAAGACAGGTCAAATCAATGTCAGTGATGGCGAAATTCCGAGAATTGAAGTTCAAATTACGGTCGCGTCCACTATATGCTCCTGAGACGGTCCTAGCTTCTACTATCTGTCTGCAAGGCTCAAAGCTCAAAAGTCTTCCCTAAAGAAAAAGCTTACATAAAAGCTTACATAAATAATTGTGTGGATCTATTGCATAGTAAGGGACATTTAGAGAGAGCCATATTCTGGACAATTTCACCGAGACATTACAAGTCGTAAAGCATGGACTTAACAATTCTGTTTTATAAGAAAAATGTTATCGGAGCGTTTTCTTGTGATTGCTCTTTCGCGGAACGTCAGAATTGATACAAAATCAAGACAATTATAAGGCGAAAAAAATTTTCCTTTTATAGTAGCGTTACAGCTTCGAGCCTTAAAATTATATCAAAAATTTTTTGCTTTACAACGAAATTGAAAACCAGCTACGTCGGATCAAAAATGCTTCGTTAGTACCAAGCACACATCTATTAATGATACGTAGGATTCTAAAATATTGGGTTTTGTTTTTGCAAAATTACATACAAACTCGTGAAACGTAAAACAGTATTATCTTCCATTAACGACAGTGCAACGTTAGGCATTTGTAAGTATCGCAATGCCATGAAAATTTCTCATGTATCGTGCAAAGATTATCACTATCCAGAAATCATATGGGACTATGTCAACAGCTATGCTACATATGTGTCATATAAGAAACGTAGTGATTGATGAGCTTTTTTTAATCAGCTTGAAACTCTATATTATGTTGGCTATCTACGTAGT